TCTGAACCCAGCACTTTCCTGTCTATGCAGGGGGTTGGACTCAATGATCTATTGAGGTCCCTTTTGACCCTAACATCTATGAATCATACAACCCCCTTCCCCACTCCCCCTCCACTTATCCTCTGCAGCTTCCCCCTGCCTCCCTTCTCCCTCCCTTACTGTTAGATGCAGCTCGGCTCTGGCTAGGATTGGGTTTCCTCCTGGGCATCCAGCACATGGAAACTCCATCCCATGTCCAGCCAATCAGCAGTACTAATGCTGTTGCATTGCCTCTGTTGCCAGCAGGGGCTGCTCTTCCACATGTTATTTTCTGGGAAGGGAAAAGCCTGATCAGCATCTGATAGTAAGGGGGTACAGGGAGAGGCAAAGAGTATGGAGTGTGGGGAGGAGGAAAGAAGCTAAGACTGGAGACTGGGGGGAGAAGTCAGAGACTGGCAGTGTGGAGGGCAAGAGGCAGAGATGGGGGGAGTGGGGCTAAAAGGGTGAATGATTGGGAAGTGGGGAAGAAAAAGAGGCAGAGACTGTGTGAAAGTGGGGGTGGGGGACTGCAGTTATATTTCAAATTATGATATAGAATGCACTGTAAAAAGTATTGAGTTATATTAGTACCAAGGGGCAGGAAAGATTGCAGTGGGAAGAAATGGGGGTTTGAGGGCAAAGGGACTGCCTGACACCCCCACCCTCCCCAGCCATCCTACCCTTCCAGCCACTGCTTTCTCTAATGTAGCAGTGGTAATGGGCTGGGATAAATTCAAGACAACCCTCCAATAATTTGATACTATACCTAGAAAATTATAATGCATTTATAATTTTACCATATATACAATCTAATTTTTGGGGTGCCATCTTTAATTCAGGGTTGTCTTAGATTCAAATACACATGGTAATCAGACTGGCTACTCTCAGTAACAGAATTCTGGTTACAAGGACTATTGTTTTGATGTAGCATGGCAGTATCTATGAAAATAGCCATCCAAATATTAGATAGTGATTGTTGGTTTCTTCTCAATTGTATAAATTTCATGTATTACCCAACTAATAGCAATAAATATGCAATTTGCATCAAACCTAGGCATCTCTCTTCTCATAATACAAGTTGGTTTTATATTCTCTTCGTTGTTTCGTCTCTTTTTGTGTAATGAATCTTCTGATGAATTCTGAAAAATCTACTAGCATCCAGCTTCTTGTGATTTAGTCATAAATAATTAAAATAGTGTTTGGCCATTTCCAGGTGAATATTTTTGGAATGTTTTACTAAGATGAGATTTAATAGTGTGAGAATTATAGTTCCTGTATAACTGCATTTCTGTGCCACCTCAACAGCTTACGATTTCAATTTTGTGTTTTATGATTCTCAGAGCATTTCCTCTTTTCTTTCCAAACTGTAAATCAAGATCTAAAATGTATCCATTGTGTACAAGAAAAATGAGAATGCTCTGATAATTCATAAGTTTTAAAAAATGGTGGAACATGTGGACAATTAAATCACTTCCTCTACTTTCCTATTCTCTGAATCCTTATTCTCCAAATTCTTATTCTTCTATCTGCATTAGGTGTCTCTGCTTATTGGTTATAACAAGAGCTAAAGAAGAAAAAAATGTAAGATGACAAGGTTTATTACCATTTTCCCACTAGTTCTGGTTTTCCTATAAAATAGCCTTTTTATAGAAGCTACTCATACTATTTAATGGCCTTTTCACTTTTTATTTCTTCAAATTCACAAATCCAGATGGAAGGAAAAGAGCCCCATTTATCTGAACTAGTCTGAAATGTGGCACCTGTGATAAATAGGTCTGAACTGGCCCTAGATGGGGTTGCACAGGAAGCAGAGTGTAAACTCATGGAGGCCAGTGGATTCCATTAGCTCTTTCTGAGCTAAGCATAGCTAATAGAGACTAAAGAAAATTAATCCACCCCCTTTGTTTAGTATGACAGAGGTATCTAACGGGGTCCCTACTCCATTACTAGGGAGCCTTGGTGGCTTAGGGTTTGCTCTCACTGCTACCTTCCCCCTCCACCTTTCTTCTCATTTTCACTTCCATCTCTCTCCTTTTACAAACATGCACTTTTTCCCTTTACCTTACCGTGTGGTCTGAGTTGGTGCATATCTGTGTGCTGCCACAGTTTGTACACAGGCTGAGGATGTGAAACAAGATGGCCACTGAGTCCCAGTGACCTGATGACCCAGGACGCAGATGTGAAGGGGAGCCTGATGCATAAAACCAAGCTTTAGGCCAAAAGGGAAAGTCTGCCTGGAGGAATTGCTGAGGACATAACCTGCCTTGGGAGGCACGAGGACAGAAGCATAGGCTGTGGCAGGGGGAACTTAGAAGGAAGCCTGAATAAAGAGAGCCTGCAAACTTGCAAGGAGAGCAAGCTAAGTACTCTGTGCACTTTTCTGTTTTGTTTTCTATGTGGAGTGTGCCACACAGGGGTGAGATGAACCCCTGCGAGTTATTGCTGTACCCAGAGACAGGCATTGGCATTTTGGGTCATTTGCATTTTTTGTTCCTGGAAGACTTGGTTGTGGCTGAAAGGGAGGCATAGGCCATGGAAAGAGGGTGCCTGGGGACACCCCAAAATCAAAGCTTAGCTGAGCAGGTAAAGCATAAAACCCGAGGTATGATTTGGGACTACTAGTGTTCAACGTGGTGAATATCATGAGTTTTGGAGCTCAGGAGTCATGAAGCCTGAGCAAAGCTGAAGCCAGGAGCTGGTGGCCCTGAATAGTGGGCCCCAAGCTAGAAGGCTCCGATAAAGAAAAAATGAGTTGTGGCTGAGGAACTCTGGCCCAGACATGGACCCATTCCTTTAAGCATGCCTTACCTTCCAGGCAGCCTCTCCTACTGAGTTTACATCAAGATGTAGCAGGTGAGAACACTGAATGGGAGGAGAGGACAGAGGGCATGGACACTGGGAAATCTCTAAAAGCAGGAACCCTTTAGCAAGACCCATGGGGTGCTTACAGTATATATTAATTGTTTTCTATCCCTCTTTGTTGTTATCACAGAGAAGTATAGGAAGTTAAGCAGCAGCTGATCAACAGTAAGTCCTCAGATCCCAAGAAAATAAATTTTACGCCCCCCCCACTTAACTACTTAAGTGAGCGTGGTGTAGTGTCTCAAATACAGTGATCAACCATTTAATTTAGACCTCAACAATACAAATAATTTAGAGAAGTATAGGGTTGTGATTGAAGAAGTGGTGAAATGTATACATGGTGCATATAACGCCCCTATTACTGAACACCTCACAATATATTTATCCTTGAGTCACTCCTAAGAAATATGGCAGTTCTACTTTTCCCCATTTCACATAGGAGAACTGAGGCACAAGAGAAGCTAAGGAGTGATCCAATTAAATATTTAGGAGCCCAACCAAACCCAAAATGGAATTTAGGCAACTAAGTCCAAAACCAAAGTAAGAAAAATACCCATTCAATTAATACCTAATCCTGGAGATGCCTAAAATCTCGAGTCATCTTTTTTCCTTAATATTTGATAAGTGCTGAATGTTCAGCTCCTGGGAACATGTAAAATTATCCCAGTTTTCGTCATTTGGTACCTGGCTCACCCTTATCTAATGATCATCCAGAAGTGAGGTACTCCTTTACCCAAGTACCTTGCAGCATTTGAAAAGCATCTCAGAGCATAACTACCATAAACTGACAGGATCAGACCCCTTACAAAACACACTGATGGCCACAACTTTGTTTTAAAATACCGATGAGTATCTTTTATATAATAGGCTCATATTTAGAGCATTTACCCATGTGTAAGCCTTACTGGAGCATGGATTATCACAACCATTGAAGTCATACAGAGGTCCTAGTAACTGAATGAAGAGTAGTCTTTGTTGACTGGAAGTGCTGGGAAAGTTAGCTAGACACCTTAGAGGATCTTAAGGATACATGCAGATTTTACACTTAGATTGACCTAACTGGGATTAGGTTGATCTAAGTGCTGATCTGTACAGACATTCAGGGAGGTTAGATCAGGCCCCAAATGGCTAGCTCCATCTAACTTGCTTTACCTGAGGTGGTAAACTAAGTTCAGTAAGAAATGGGTTGGCTTGATCTAACAAATGTCTGTACACATTTGGAGCTCAGCCCCAGAGCTGGGAAATCCCAGCTGCTTGCCCCAGCCACAGGGCTGCACTTTCCTTTTCTGCTCTGACTGGGCTATTCTTAGCCACCTGACCCTCCTACCCCCAGATGACAACCCCCCTGCAGATCCATCAGTGCCCCCAATCCTGCCAACCCCCCTGACCTGCCATCCCCCTCTGCAGATCCACTAGACCCACCCCAACCCTGCCCCTCCCCAGCCCAAATTACTTAGATCAGATTCCTAGAGCTGCTCCCAGGACTGGCTGATGTATGAACAAGCCAAACCTGATCTATGATTATAGACTGGTTATTGTGAACATGTGCACATACCCATGGAGGCCCTAGTGCATAGAAATGTATACAGAAGCCAAACAGAGGCTCTAGTAACAGTATGAACAGTAACAGCATGAACAGGCCTTGCTGACTAGATGTGCTGGGAAAGTTAGGTTGGCACCTTAGGGTTTAAGGATGAATTGATTCAGTCTTCACAGATTAGTCTAAGCTGCATAGATTGAACCAATAAGCAAGTGAACAGACATGCACTTTTGATTCCACGTGCCTGCAGTGACCCAGGCCAGAAGCTTAGAGATGCTAGAGCATGGCTCCCTGCTCACCTAGTGCAGACAACTTAGTGCAGTCCACCCACCCTGCAAGGGGGGGGCGGGGGATGTTTACAGGGGAGGGGAAAAACATCCTGGGATGCTGGGGGATTATGAGTTAACTTGAATCTGCAGGGGATTTGGGACAGAAGTTCAATAAACCATTTTAACCTAAATCAGTTAAGTCTGATGCTACATGGTTTATCTTAAACCACTTTTGGCCATTTTGAACTGCACTGAACTTACGTTGTGTTGCAGATTTGAACCTGATTCCAATCACTTATATTGGTTTATGTGTAATTTCTCTCCATAGCCTAGAAGTCCAAGGCACAGAGAAGTGACTGAAAAGATTGGTACAGGACCCCAAAACAGGTTCCTCTGCCTGGTAGGAGGTCTCAATATCTTGTGTGAGTTGAATGTTAATGATGTCACCTAAAGATGTTTAGTGATTGCTGATGACTATGCTGTGTATACTATAATGTAAAGTTGTTTTCACTGGTCTGGGAACCCTGAATAATTTTTACTGAGCTAGGGGGTATATTTTAATATGGTACAATGTACACAACTAACCTGTGAACCAAATGGTCATGGATGCTAGTGCCAAAGCTTATTTGTAGACATTAAAAACCTGACTGAGCTTTTGTTACTAGGAACCACAGTCTGTAGACCCTTTATTATAACAATAAGCTCATTGGGAGTAGTAAAATAGGATCACATATGCCATCCTGACAGAGCTCTTATTGGACCACCTCATACTGAAGGATCCTGATATGACCAGTAATATTCAACTCCCAATAGTATTTGACAGGCTGTGATGCTGGGATTGGGAAGATTTGATTTCTTCCTCAGCCTGGAAGGATTAAAATTTTGGATGAAATCTATCACCTTCCAGGAGAGGTCACTGACCAGCAAGTAGAGCCTGTCTGAGGTTGCAACAAACAACCTGCTGTTGAAGCTGTGCAACTGGGCAGAAAAGAATTCAAGATTTGTTGGATGAACCAGAGGGAGAGAGACAGAGGGATCATGGTTATGCAGCCTCGCAGGGTATTCAGCTGAAAGGGAAGAATCCTGGTTTCCAGTCACTGCTCTAGGAGTGTTTGTGTTAAACACATTAAACAGGCATTGGGTCTGAAGGCAGTCTCAGGGAAAGACTAGATTTTAGACATATATCTGTCATTTCCCGCTGGCTAGTTTAGATGGCTCCTGGATCAGTCTGGTAGATATGAGCCCATTCTGAGGCATCTACTATTCATATATATTGTATTGTAAGCTGATGCCTTTCCCTCAGATTCCTGGATTTCACTCTGGGGAACTAGTTGCTTACCTCTTTACTGGATCTAGCCTGGAGTAACTTGTGCAAGTTCATACAAGAAGTCTTTGGTAGGGACATTGGCAAGGATGTTGGCAGAAGTTGTAGCCTATCCACTGGGTCATCTTTGCTTTCTAAAGGATCACTGATCAAAGACAAATCTTTTTGAAAGCCAGGTTATATTCACTAGCCCAGATCCTGTAGCTGATGTAAATCTGCTTTGCTTTATTTACTTCAAAGGACATTTATGATTTATACAGCTAAGAATCTGATCAAAAACTGATGGGGCTCATAGCCTTTAGTAACTGGATGGTAATGATTGTAAAAACATTTGTTTTCCAGAGCCTATGGCTAAACTGAAGAGGTCAAGAAAAGGGTTGAAACTCTATGCATAAATGACACATATATGTATTTGCCTCCCATTCCTCCCCCCACACACATACACACACCAACGTTACATTTCAAAATGTCAGACTGACTGCTTTACTTTAAAAAAAAAAAAAAGTTTTTATCCATCACTTGAGACTCTGTGTATCTAACAGGATTCAGGGTTCAGAT